AATTATAGAAAAAAAAAAAGAAAGTCTTGTGGTTGGAGAGTGGAAAACCTAAAGGATGAAGTCCATGGTATTAAGTTTGTTGTTAGGTGCCATCAAGTCGAATACAACTCATAGCAACTCTGATCTGCCGACTGGGATTCCTGCCCTATCTTGTGCCACTCTCATAATTTCTGACACACTGTAGCCCATTGCTGAAGTCATTGTGTCAATCCATCTCATTGGGAGTCCTCTTTTCCTTCACTGACCTTCCTAAATCTCAGAATAAAAGCAAACTAGCTTTAATAAAAAGACGTGCTGCATTGTGAAAATCTGCCATCAAGGACTTCTCCAGAGTGTCAAAAAGCAACAGCGTCAGCTTAAAGATTATGGTGCACCTGCTCCAAGCTATGATATTTTCAATTGCTTCCTATACAGCTAAAAGTTTGACAAATAAAGATGACTGAATAATTTAAGATTGAATCGCAGTGTTGGGAGTATTGAATATCCTATTACCTGCCAAAATAACAAACATCTGTCTTGGAGGATGTGCAGTTGGAGTGTTCCTTAGATGCAAAAATTATGAAACTACTCTCATATACTTTTGAGCATGTTGTCAGGAGGAGCTGCAAAAAGACATCATGTTGGGAAAGGTGGAGGGTCAGAGAAAGACCCCTATCAAGTCAGACTGACAGAGTGACTGTAAAAATGGGCTAGAGCATATCAGAGATCATGAAGATAGCATAGGCCAGAGTGATGCTCCTACCTGTTTATAAAGTCCTATGAGTAGTCATCAACTTGGTGGCACATTAACAACAGTTCTAGTAGGCTACATCAAGTTTGAGAGAGAGTTCTCATGGCCAATTAATTGGTATGGAGTTGCATTGACAATCCAAGTGCAAGTGGTTTGATTACATCAGCTGCTGAGAGACAGACGAGCAATCTCCTCCCATGTGATTTACAGCCTCTGAAAACCCACTGGAGTGTCTACTATGAGTTGGTTCTGACACAACAGACATTACAATAATTACATAGTTTGAATGTTAATTAAAATGTGATGTTTGTTGTTGTTATGTGCCATCGAGTCACTTGCGACTCATAGTGACCCTATGTACAAGAGCTCTATACACTCTTATATACTGTGCCAACCTAGCCATCTCAAACGCACTTATTCCCACCTCTCTAGTCACAAAATCGATCCATCTCATCAAAGGTCTTCCTCTCCTTCGCTGCCCCTCCACTCTGTCAAACATGATGTCCCTCTCCAAGGACCAATCCCTCCTTGCAACATGCCCAAAATATGTCAGATGAAGCTTCAGAATCCTTGACTCCAGGGAACACTCTGGCTTCACCCTCTCCAGGACAAACCTGTTTGTTCTCCTAGCAGTCCATGGTATATTCAACACTCTTCTCCAGCACCACAGTTCAAAGACATCAATTCTCTATCAACCCTAGTCACTGTCCAACTCTCTGATGCATAGCACATAATTGCAAAGACTATAGCCCGGATCAGGCGCACCTTAGTCTCCAGTCTGACATCGTTGCCCTTCAGTACTCTTGAGAGGTCCCTCACAGCCAACTTTCCCAATGCAATTCGTCTCTTGATTTCCTGGCTGCTGTTACCAAAAGTGTTGACCGCGGAGCCAAGTAAACTAAAACTGTTAACTATCTCAATCTCTTCACCATCCATACTGATGCTGCCAGTTGGCCCAGTGGTTAGAATCTTTGTTTTCCTGATGTTGAATGTGACAGAAAACTAACAACTGAAAGACTTTCAATAAGGAGGAAGAGATGACAATGGTGAATGGAAATGAAAGGTGTCAGAGGAAAAAAAGAGTTCAGATGAGGTATAATGGTGGTTTGTATTAAAACAGTAATAGTAAAACACACATACACACACACACACACACACACACACACAAACAAAACAGTGATAGTAGAGGGGAGTAGTCAGTTCTGACTTGTTTTTCAGGAGCTCTTCTGGCCTAGTGGGTAAGAAATTGTGCTGTGAACCCAAAGACAAGTGGTTTGAAACCACCAGCTGCTCCATGGGACAAAGATGGGCAATTTTCTCCCGTGGGATTTACAGCCTTTGAAATCTGCTGGAGTTGGTTACAACTCAATGGCACCCAACAAAAACAACGAATGACGAATCTGAAGCCAGGTAAGAGAGTGTAACTACCAGATGTCTGACTTGTGCAGTGAACAGTGTGTGGTGGTCCATTTAGTTAGGTGGGAACTAGAATCAGTTGTTGAGGATCTTCTGATTAGTACTTTACATGCTTAATACAGTTTACAGGTGGGCTGGGATTCAAACCCAGGGAGGCCTAATACAAAGCCAGTATTCTAAATACTCAAACTCACTGCTGTTGTGTTGATTCTAATTCATAGCAAGCCTCTATTGGGTTTCCAAAGTCGTAAATCTTAATGTACGGGGACTGCCCATCTTTCTTCTGTGGATAATAGATCGTGAATACTGGGAAGGTCAGACGGAAGGAAACGTGTATAAATGTAGACCAATTAGTGACACAGGCGTGAAAGAACCATACAATACAAGCCCTAACAAATTCCCGCAGTCTGTGACGATACTTCAGCAAGTATGAACTTTCTGCTGAATAAACCGAGACTGAATAAACTGAAAAGAGCTGCCAGGCCTTGACCGCCAGAATGAGTAAAGGATGGTGTGGGGGAGGAACTTCTTAGGGTCAGCAGTGGCTCTGAAAAGTTAGGCAGAGCCAAGACCCCGTCACACTAAGTGCAGCCTTGCCCTCATTACCTGAAACGACCCACGTTGTGCACTGAGGCTGAGCGGCCGGAGCCACCGTTCCCGGCAGCTTCCTCCCCAGGCCGGAACTGTGTCCGGAAGCAGTCCGTCCGCCTCAGCGGGCCCCCCTGAAGCCTCTAAAAAGTTCCGATGAGCTTTCCTCCCTGCAAAAGCTGGACTGTTGCGCTTGCGCGAGGGGTCTTACACAGTCACGCGCCGCCGGAGGCTTCCGGTGAGCCGCGAGGGCCGCTGGGACGTGTCTCCCTGGCGATCTAAGGTGTGCTGCTGGTGCTACCACCGCTGCTGAACCTGGGAGACCTGGGTCCTCCTGCTGTCTTCCTTGGGCTCCCCGGGGTTTGAGTCCCCGGGGCCCTTGGCAGGCCTTGGTGAAGGGCCTGCGGGACGAACCCGTGCTGCTATACCCCCTCCTCGACGACCCCATATCGCGACTTCGCAGACGGGACAGCTAGAGGGGGTGACTCCGCGCCGTGTGTCACCGGGCGGGCCCGCGGGGCCGGGGCTCCTCCAGCCCCCGGGATGCGCGCACGAGCCCTCGCCTCCACTCCCTTGTTGCCTCTGTCACGACTGGAGCCGCCTCTCGCCGACAGCGGGGAGCGCGAGTGCTGCGGGCAACCCCCTCACCGAGCCCACGAGCCGATCGCCTCCGGGAATGTGAGCCGCGTGGCCTGCACGCTCCTCCGGGTAAGTCCTGCCCTCGATGGCTCCTCTGTGGACCCCACTGGGCGACCTTGGGCTGGGGGCTGCGGCTTTCAAAGCGTCCATGGCCTGTTTCACAACATAGGGCAAGAAAACCTTAGGGTGCACCCAGGCAGTCCTTTGGGATGTTTGAGACTCAGGGAAATGAGCCATTCCGGAGTCAAGCTCTAGCTGATCTATCAAAGGTCATCTCATGAGGTTCCGAAGAGGATCTGATGGGGCATTAAACGTATTTTAAGGACTGCTTTTAATTCTGTTTTACAGATGAGAAAACTTGATTTGAACAGTAAATAGATTGCTCAAGGTCATAGAGCTAGCTCCATCCTAGTGTTAAGTGGAGTAACTGAAATTAGAACCCAGATCCTCTTCCCTGGCTCTTAGCTGATGTAGTATCCTTCTCTCTCTCTCTCTCTCTCTCTCTTTTTTTTAAAATGTATTGCTGTACTGAGGCCTACTATACAAAAAGAAGGTTGAATTCAGGTGCAAAACACGGTAGAGCGATTAGGAGAGACATGTGCACAGATGGGCATGATAAACCCTTCCTTTTCACACCCCAGTGTGGTTTTAATGACTTACCTTTCTGAATTTATTTTCACCTGCGTGCCAGAATATTACGTGTATTTCTCATAAATTCTATCTTTTCGTTTCTGCACTTTTCAACAAAGATTGAGGTGAAAAGTCATTATTTTAAGAAGGAACAAAAATGTAAACTTTTGAATTAAAAAAATTTTTGATTTAACTTGAAGTCCAGGTTAAGTGCTTTACTGCTAGCAGAAAGATGGACAGTTAAAACCCACCAGCCACTCCAAGGGAGAAGGATATGTGTGACAGTGTGCTTCTGTAAAGGGTTACAGCTTTGGGAAGCCGATGGGACAGTTCTGCTCTGGGTTCTTTGAGTTGGAATTGACTCAGTGAAGGTGAGTTTATTTCCTCGTTGTTTTTCCAGCCAAAATGACAGATTTGTACCCTTTTAATTACTCGTCTTCCCCAAACCAGGTGAAAAAAAGTCACTTAGAGATCACACAAAACTAGAAAGAACGTTAGGAGTAATGTGCTCTTAATCTGGAGAGCTCTGGTGGTCTAGTGGTAAGAACCTGTGCTGTGCAGTTCGAATCCACCAATTGCTTTGTGGGAGAAGAATGGGCAGTCTCCTCCTGTGCTGTTGACTGCTGGAGGGTTGTCTGTGAGTTGGTTTCACACAAGAACAACAATCTGGAGTGGGGAGCTCTGGTGGTGTAGTATGTAGTGAGTTCCACTGCTAACTCAAAGACTTCATAACTCTGGCAATTTGAATCCATCAGCCCCTCTGAAGAAAGATGGGCCAGGCTTCTCTCATTAAAGGGCTCAAATTAATGAGTCTTTATGAGTTGGAACCAACTCAGTGCCAGTGAATTGAGGTGGTTTGTTTTTTTAATCTAGAATGTAGATTTTAAAAAAAGCAAACCCAACCAATTTAAGATTCAGCTCAAGATCTAGCTGAAAGGCTGGCAGTTTGTAGCTCCTACCCACTCAGGCACTTTTCAAGAGGCATCTCCAGAAGATCACACAGCCTTCTACTGAGCAGCACATGGAGTTGCCTGGAGCCATAATTAACCCCAGGGAAACTAACATTGGAGTGAATCGTTAAAATCAGAGATGAACTGTGTTGTGTCAGCTTCCTTCTAGTGGAAGGGTTTGGTTTTGTTTTGGCTTTTATAATATTGTCAAAGGTTTCTGTCTTCCAGAAAGTTAGAAACCACATACTTTAGCTTATCTCACAAAAGAATAACTGAAACTTAGAGAATAGGCTAATAGGCCTTATAATTAGAAAGTGTAGGTTTGGATCCTGATCTCCTGCTATACTCCAGTGTTCTTTTTCTTGCCGTGCCTAATCAGATCCCTCATTAATGGAATGGGGTCTAAATAAAATGTGAGAGTACTTTATATTTGTCTCCAGTTTGGAGAGTAGGTGATGCAGTTGGACTCTGAAAGTTGAGCTCTCTTTGTTTTGGTTGATGGTTGTTGTGAAATGTTGGGTGGTTTTTTTACATAAACCTCTTGTTTAGACTCAACAAGACCTTTGTATTTAAAGTTGGCAGGTCCTGGGGCCTAGTGTTATTATATATGTTGGAGGAACATTCTTTTTCTAAGTGGTACAGCACTGGTCTGTCAGTTTACTGTACTGCAGTAATCTGAGGTTGCTGTGATGCTGAACTTTGTGCCATTGTGGTGTTAAATGCCATAACAGCTGCCCATGGTGGGAAGTGTTTAGTAGAGTTCCCACTTTAAGACAGTCCTGGAAGCAGGAGTGGCATCTGCTTGCTAAACAACATGCCTCTGGAAACTATGAACTTAGAGAATTGACAGTAGTTATAGAAAGGCATCAGGTCTTCTGTTCATAGGGTTGCTAAGAGGCTTGCGTGCTTGGCTTGATGGCAATCAACAACAGCTATGTCAGTCCCATGTTTACTGCTGAATCTAGAACTCAGAGTGCCTTTCTGGTAGATTTTCAGGAGCAGCTTATTCATTTCTCCTCTGAAAATATATATTTAGTGTGAAATTATTTATAAGATCATCTTTCCCTCAATTTTTTATAGGTAAAACACAAATTTGGAAATTGACTGAAAATAAGCTGACTGTTCTTAAACTTGTCTCCCAGGCATTTTTTGTGTGTGCTTTTCTTTTCTTGGACATGTAGCTCAGCCCTAGAAAGTTAATTTTGGACAGGTAATTCTTCATTGGACCTGTGCTCTCTACTATCACAGCCATATATCATAGCTGTTTAATTATAATAGAATAAAATTAACTCAGGTTTTCAGTCATTCTTTTTTTTCAATTGCTCTATCGCCTTCTTTGGCTAATTAGGCAACATTGATGAACACTTCCATGATCAATGAAAAAATCATTGAATCTCCTTGGTTTAGGGAGTTGCCAGTAGAGATAAGAAGCAGTGTGGCCCAGAGAGTTGGATTTGTGTGACATAAATCTCTATTTTTTAGTGCCTCTTTGGACAGATTATTAAGCATTACAGCTAGAGATTATTAATTGTTTAGATAATGAATCATTTCATATGTTTAGTATTTGACCATTCTGGTGTAGTTACTTACATCTGTTGTGTGCTTTATATTTTATCACTGTATATCTGCAGTAAAGTGGGTGAAACTTCATTTTTTATACATGAGAGTGAGAGATCTGAACCTAAAACCTCTAATGGTGGAACTGTCCAGAAGCACTAAAGCTGCCAGACTATATAAAGACATCCCTCAAAGAGAGGTGGGGAGTCTGTAGGGAGTTACCTTGCTCAAACCCAAAAGCCACACCTCTTTGGCAGTTCTAATCCACCAGAAGCTCTTTGGGGGAAAGATTAGCTGTTATGTGGATTTACAATCTCGGAAACCAGTGGAGGGTGAGCTATGAGTCAGTTCTACTTGACAGCACTGAGAGGGGTTTTTATACACAGTCACTTTGTACATGCCTGAATGAATAACCAAATGAATCAAGAAAACAAGGTTAGGGTGGTGAAGTATATGAAGCCAGAACGAGAACATCTGCCTCCTAAGACAAATGGTCTTTTTTTACCTTTTATTATATCGAATTTTTACAATTTGGGGCTAATAAATTCCTCAGTTCAAAGATTGCTATCAGTATCTCGTAAAGTACTATAGAGGGCTGTCTATGCAGTTGTCCCAAATTTGCTTGGCTAAACAAAATAACCCAGGGTGCTTGCTCAGCATACAAATTTTCATACACCTTGTAATAAAGATTGAGAAGGGCTGATGTGGAGCCCTGGAATCTGTATGTCTAAGAAATACTTCAAATTCTGCTTAAAATCTTCTGAATTTAGGAAATGACTAAGCCTTTGAGACCTGGCAGGGGGAAGAGTGGTTGCTGCCCCTTGTGGAATAGATGTCTAATTTACTTTTCTCTCTTGTAGCCATGGATGCATCATATGATGGTGCTGAGGTAACTGTCGTGATGGAGGAAATTGAGGAAGCCTACTGTTATACCTCTCCTGGGCCACCCAAGAAGAAGAAAAAGTATAAAATACATGGAGAAAAGGCAAAGAAACCCAGGTTAGTTAGCACTTCCTAGTTACTGTTATACTTTCTAGTATAACAGTGTATTTGAAATGCTGTACTATCAGGCCAATCTCAAATGCCCATTAACTGAAGTTGCTTAGAAATCTTTGCTGAGGAAGACCTTAAGATGCATCTGGAGTCATTCAGAATGTCATAAGGTTGTTGCCATCTGAGGCTTGGTAAAAGGAGGGAAAGGTGGCTGGATTTATGTCAATATTTGCCATTTCTTACCAGACCATGCCCATGCATGTTTCTAGCTTTTCCAGAAAATTGTATCATACAGATGATAGAAGCTATGTCCAAGAACTTTATTTATTGGGTTTTTTTTTTAAATTAGTTATTACTGTCCTTAAAATAGGACACTGATAGAATTAGGGAATTATACGTAGCACCAATGATTTTTATAGAGCCTATTCAAATTGTTGCTTAATTCCCCTTTGATTTGTGACTACTCCAGAATTCTTGCTGAGCCTACCTACATTAGGCCTCTTTGACTTTGATATTTGTTTTGCTTTCCTCTCTCACCTTTGGGGAGGTCCTATTGACTAGTGAGATGACGAAAAGACTGTGTTGAGAAGTTAAGAGTGTGAATGATATCTACAACCGGAAGAAGATAAAATAGATAAATGGGATCTTCTAAGAATCAAATCCCTATGTACATCCAAAAACATCTCCAACAGGGTAAAAAGGGAAGCCACAGACTGGGAAAAAGTATTTGGTAATGACATGTCAGATAAGGGACTTATATCTAGAGTTTATAAAATACTTGAGCACCACAAAAAGATAAAGATAAACAATCCAGTTGAAAAATGGGCACAGGATATGAACAGACACTTTACCAAAGAAGACATTCAGATGGCGAACAAACACATGAAGAAATGTTCAAAACCCCAAGCTTTAAGAGAGATGCAAATCAAAACAACTATAAGATATCTCACCTCAGTAAGAATAGCAAAATTTAACAGAACAGCAAGCAATAAATGCTGGTGAGGTTGTAGAGAAACTGGAACTCTTATTCACTGTTGGTGGAAGTGTAAAATGGCGCAACCACTGTGGAAGGTGGTGTGGTGCTTTCTCAAAAAGTTGGAAATAGAAATACCATTTGACCCAGCAATTCCACTACTAGGAATATACCCCAAAGAGACCATATCTGCCACCCAAGCAGATAGATGCACACTCGTGTTTATCTTGGCTTTGTTCACAGTATCAAGGAGTTGGAAACAACCTAAGTGCCCATCAACAAACGAATGGATAGAGAACCTGTGGTATATTCGCACAATGGAATACTATGCTGCATTGCAAAACAAGGAACTCATGCAATAGTATTCAAAATGGGTGACCTTGGAGGACAGTATGCTGAGTGAAGTATCTCAGTCACAAAGGGACAAATACTGCATAGTGCCACTGTTGGAAAACAGGACTGACGTCACGCTTGGGAGGAGACTGAGAAAAATGGCATAAATAATGTATACTGCATTGAAACAGATGAGGGAAAAACAGGAGTCCAGAGCAAAGACTGCATAGTGGAGTGGACCTGGAGGGAGGGATTGGAAAACGGGGGGGAGGGGAGAGGGGGGGACCTAAAAAAAGGAAAACAGTGGGGGAACTTTTACTTTTCAAAGACAAGAATGTACTGGGGGAGAGGGGTAGGCAGGAAGAAAAGTGTAACAATGAATGAATGGAAATCCAGAGTCTCTGTAAATTTTCATTAAAATTAATTTTTAAAAAATTTTAAAAAAACTGTGAATGATAACCACAGCAGGGAATTGGCATCTCTGCAACCTTTCCCTGGCAATGAAATGGCAGGGTGCTTGTCTTTCTTTGTTTCTGTTACACTTTGAAAATCCAGTCATTCCTACAGAGAGGTCATGATAAAGTAAACCAACCAAATCTTGCCTTTTGGTTTCTGACGAGAGTAGTCAAAGTCACTTGTCTTAACCATCATTTTGCCCTCCCGTATACTTCTCTACCTCTTCACCAGGACCTCTGATGGCATAGTCTGTAGCATGCTGCTATGGACAGTGCCATTGTTGTTTGCTGAGTCTTTACAGCAGTTCAAATACACTAGTGTCTCCATGGGAGAAAGGTGGACAGTCTTCTGCTGTGAAGATACACTGCTTTAAAAATCTGATGGATGGTTGTTTTGAGTTTAAATTGACTTGATGGCAGTGAGTTTGGTTTGCATTTTTCTCTGTAACCCAAAATCTGACACTATCATATCTACTGTCCGAATGAGGGAAATTCTTAAGAAGTCTTTGCTTCCTCAGGTCTGCTTACCTCCTGTACTATTATGACATCTACCTGAAAGTGCAGCAGGAGCTCCCCCACCTCCCTCAGTCTGAGATCAATAAGAAGATTAGTGAGAGCTGGAGGCTTCTCAGTGTGGCTGAGAGAAGTTACTACTTGGAGAAAGCCAAACTTGAGAAAGAAGGTTTGGATCCTGTAAGTAATTTTCATTTCCCTAGTAGTTTTCTTTGTTGATTCACTAATAAAACAACCTCCTAGTCGTGTGTCGATTTTTTTTGGAAAACTTTAAATTGAGATGTGTCTTTTTTTTCTTGAGTCTGATACTGTCTATTTCCATTTCACTGACACCATGTACTCTTGCCTTCTTGGCTGAAGTAGGACTTTGAACTGACATGTCTGAAGGTTATTTGCATAAACTTATTTCTGCATAAGCTTTAATACTTTGTGCTTGGAGTAGCTAGTACTTAGTAATTTCCCTTTCTACACCATGGCTTTTCATCACAAATTGAATGCAGTACAATTGATTTGTATTGCATAAACTATCAGTTCTGACATAATTAGCAGTTCCTGTCTTACATATTTACATACAAATGCTGTGGCTGCTTTGTGAGGTATTCCACTGATAGTTGTGAGCTGGGCTAAAAGTGCAAATACCAGGTCAAGGTACACAGAAATAGAGAACAAGGCTTTTAAACCTCAAATTAAAAAGCAAAACATTTAAAAAAAAAAAAAGCAAAACGGCTTTTAGACTTGTGTATGAGTCATTTTGTTATTTCTGGTGCATAGTAACCAAAGGTGCTCAGAACTATTTTTTTTAAAACTGAAATTTCTACCGGAAAAATAACCTTGTTATTGCAAGCTGAAACCTTTTAATCTCAATTTGACATTTTTTCAATTGAAATCAATACCTCTGACTTCTTTTTGTTAATACCAAACAGAAGATTTTGAGGAATGTGACAGCTGCATTATAACAGGACAGATGGGGCCCTTATTGGAGCCCACCTACTGGACCTTTAGTTTATCCTTACTGCCTTAATATTCTTCCTGGAGAGCTTTGTGTTACCCACATTCTTAGAGTTCATTTGTTTATAAATAGTGAGTGAGGAATAATTCATGTGGCACAAGAGGGATAGTTGAGGAAAAGTAAACATGCTCTTTGATTTCTCCATTATAAAGTCAGCAGTGTATTATCTACAATGATTCTTCCTTATTTATATGCTGCTTTATGTCTATAACCATTCCACTGTTACCAACGGAGAGCATGAGCAGATATCCTCCGATACAGAATGACTTTGGAAGAATCTTTTCTTTTGGAAGAACCTTTGATTCTTGGTTTCCTAATCTCTAAAATGCAGATAACAGAATCTACTCAGAATGTTTTAACAAGCAAAAGTAAAGCATGTACCTGAGTTCTTGGCATATATTCACTTTGTAAGAGAATCTCAACCCTTGTTGTTACTGTTCAAACTCAAAGAGGCTTTTTAGAGAGTTATTGTTAGGTATTCTCAGCTGTAACTCATGACAATTCTGTATGCAATAGATTGACATCCTATACAGTCTTTTGCGGTCATCACACACCTTGCTGTATTTAAGCACATTGTAGTCACTGCGTCAATACATCATATTGAGAATCGATCTTATTTTGCTACCCTCTACTTTTCTAAACGTGGTATCCCTTTCCAAGGACTCGTTCTTCCTGATAACATACGTTTAGTGTGTAAGACAAAGTCTCACTGTCCTCACTTCTGCAGAACATTCTGTCTTTACTTCTTCCAAGACAGATTTGTTTGTTCTACTGGTATTCTGATAGATCAGTACTCTTTGCCAAAACCACAATTCAAAGGCACTAATTCTTCAGTTTTTCTTACTCATTGTCCAGCTTTCACATGCCTATAAAGCACTTGAAAATGCATTGGTTAGATCAGACACACCTTAATCTTTAACTGACATTCTTGCTCTTTAGCACTTTTAATTTTTAACTGTAATATTGTTTATTTGTATATTTCTAGTTTTCCTGTTTATCTTATGCTTCCTTTATTTATTTACTTATTTTACTTTCTTTAGCATATTTAAGAGATCTTAACAGCAGATTTGCCCTCGTTGTAATAGGTTATTTGATTTCTTGACTGCTGTTCTCATGGGTGTTGATTGTGGATCCAAGTAAAATGAAATAATGGACAAATTCCATTTTTTCTCTTTTTACCATGTTGCTACTTGTGGCTCATTTGTGAGTGTTCTTGTTTTCTTTATGTTGAGTAATTAATACTGAAGCTGTCGTGTTTGACCTTCTTCAGTAAGTGCTGCAAGACCTCTTTACTTTCAGCAAGCTAAGGCTTCCTTCCGTTCATCAATCTTTAGTAGATTAAATATCTAATGACCATGTGATAGGAAAATGTACCATGTATTGAGCACCTGCAGCGTGTCAAGCCTGGGTGAAACTTTACATGCTGTGTTTGACCTCACCCAAATTGTTTTGTTTGAAGGTACAGCAGTCCAGCCTGCATTCCCGAGGCGTCTGTCAGAGTCACATGGCAGCTTTCTCCTCAGGAGTCCGTCAGTTCTTATGCCACATCCTGTGGGTCTTCCATGCTCTAGGATGCGTGCCATGTTGGCTGACCTGGTTCTTCTGTGCTTGGATTTGTTGATTAAGTCCAGAGTGCCCTGAGCTTTACTGCCATTTAGTTTCACTGTTTGGTTTGTCTGCATCAAAGGGTGATTTGAGACTATAATTTTTTTTATCTTATTTCCAAAAAAGGTTTAAGGATTAAGCCTATCTGCTCTCATTTTTCATCTGAGTGTTTCTTTTAGCTTCTTTCATCTTTAAGTGCTTTCTTTGTGCCCTAAGTGGTTGGTCTCATTGACTTTTTGGCTTTTGATTTTGTTAAGGATCCTTTTGTAATTGACTTCAGGGTACTCTTTCTTTTTTGGTTTGCGGTTTTTATTCTTCAGTCTGCCCTTTTTAAAGCTGCTCATGAAATAATTTTTTGGTTCTACTTAATTTCAATTATCACCTTTTCACTTGAACTTTTCTCTATTTTGGGGGTTGTTGGTTTTTGTTAGTAAACAAAAATGCTTTTTTGTTCTCATGCCTAAATACCCTTCTTTATACCAACTAGTTGTGCAAAGTTATATTTCTTACACCTAGTCTCCTTGATTTTTAAGATCCAACAGTCCTTGCTTGGCTGCATACTAGTTTTTTGAAAAGTCAGTTTACTTCCCTGAGCTTCAGCCTCAATTTTTTCATTTGTTAAATAGGAATAATAGTAATAGTAACTGTCCATAATGATTTTATTTTAAACTTAAACTAAGATCATGGATTAGAAAGCATTTTTTCAACCTTGAGGTCCTAGGTCAGTGTTAATATTTTTATCTTTAAAATTTAAAAGACCATCATCGCATAAGCTTTTTCTGTACATACAAATACTTGGGGTGTGCACATGCATGCATGTGCTGGCACTCACACACACACACACACACACACACACACACAGAGCCTTCTTAATGATGTGTCTATCGACTTCCTTGTAAATTTGAAAGAAATCAGTAAGTCCAGGATCCTTAATTCCTGGCTTGAATTACAACTCTGCCTATTAATTTGTCGTTTTTGTGTTTTACGTTGAGAATTATACATTTTGATATTGTGTTCTACTACATTGGAATTTGAAAGTATCAGATCTGGACAGGAACTCATAAACAGCCAGATTCAGTCCCATTGATTTATAGTTGAGGCATAAAGAAGAAAAAATTTGCTCCACTCTATCATACTTGAGGTTCCAGCTGAGAATTTTGGATGTCAAGATCAGTACCCTTCATAGAATTCAGTCCTTGTTTTCTACTTTGATTTGAATTAGTCCATTACATTACCTAAATTGTGATTCATGGGAGATCTCGTTGTGTAGTCTGGAGGACACTGTGCTGCTAACCCAAAGGCAAAGCCTCTCTTTTGGTTTGAATTCTCTAGATTCTCCAAGAGAGAAGGATAGACAGTCTCCTCCTATATGACTTACATCCTCTCAAAAACCTGATGGAGTGTCAGCTATAAGTTGGTTCTGACTCTCTGGTAATGAGTTGGAGGGGTTTTTTTGTTTTGTTTTGTTTTGTTTTCGCAGCGGCCAGGGCTTGTTCTCCGGGAGGCTGGTGGGGATCTCGCGGCGCAGGCGGCTCGAGCTCTGGGGCTGCGCCCTGGCTCTCGGGCTCCTTGCTCGATCTTACTAGGAGGTTTGTTTTTCGAAATGTCATTCAAGATGATATTCTTGTCAGACTGACCCTGTCGAGTCTTAGCTAAAGAGAGCTACGACTTACTGCTTAGAGGGGGGAAAATGAGCGTATACTGTAAATTATATTTATGTATTTTTAGTTTCTGTGTCTCTACTTGTGTCTCCTTGGCTTTTTCATCCCTAGAACTCTAAGCTCTCTACACTGACTGCTGTGGTTCCGGACATCCCAGGCTTCCGCAAGATCCTCCCCCGCTCAGATTACATCATCATCCCCAAGAGTAGCCTACAGGAAGACCGGAACTGCCCTCAACTGGAACTATGCGTGGCCCAAAACCAGATGTCCTCTAAAGGAACCCCTCTTGTGTCCAACACTGCCCCAGAAACAGTGCCGAGCCATGCAGGCATGGCAGAGCAGTGCCTGGCTGTGGAGGCCCTGGCTGAAGAGGTGGGAGCCCTTGCTCAGCCAGGTGCTGTACAAGAGATCACCACCTCAGAGATCCTCAGCCAAGACATGCTTCTAGACGAGGCTTCCCTGGAGGTAGGAGAGAATCACCAGCCTTACCAAACAAGCTTGGTAATTGAAGAAGCTTTAGTGAATGGCGCACCAGACCTTCCTTCCAGAAGCCTGGCTGTGCCCCACACCCAGGTTGGGGAGAGTGTATCAGTAGTAACAGTCATGAGGGTAAGTGGCTTTAGTACTAGATTGTCTTTTGGTTTTATCTGGAATTACAAAAAAGTGATTAACACCACCATGCATTGTGGTTCTGAAGCTGTGGTAAAAGAAGGCTGATGTGACCCTCTAATGGGACTGCAATCCTCTAGAACCTTTTTTCCTGGGTCTTATTCTAAAGTCATCTTCAGTTTCTCAACCACTTTCCCTAACTCTTTTTGCCTTTCTTTATATGAGATGGCATAATAAATACGTTAGCAGGAGATGGAAATTGGTAGTTGATGCTTTAATCAGAGCTGAGATTTTGCATCACCTAAGACTTTTTCCCCTGTAGGGTAGTTCAGAAAATACAGTGGTACTTAGAAATTTATAAGAATTGTAAAAGGTCAACGTATGCATAGAGTGGGTAGAAGGAGGACATTCTACTTAAAAACTAGTATTTGAAAAAAAGAAGCCTCTTCAGTGACCTAAGCCCCGTGGCCAATTGAGGAGGAAGTTTCAGTGACCCAGTACCTTAGGTTCCCCTGGGAGGGATAGCTACTGTACCCTAGTGTGTGGCTTCATCTAAGTATGGTAGCATCCAGCATGGTGCAACTCCTATGACCTAAAGGGATTATAGGAGGTAGCCCTGCCTTCTGTCCTTTGTGTAATTGCAGCAGTTGATGGTAATGAAGAATGCCACTGGCCTGGTTAAGGCAGATTGATGAGTTCTGAGAGACTCTGATAGGATCAAAAGAATTGGGTTCTCTCGTTAAGTGATTTTGACAGTCAAAAGAACATATGTTTTGAAAGAAAATGCAGCTAGAGTGCGCCTTAGAGGCAAGGTTGGTGAAGCTTCACATTTTATACTTTGGACATGTTGCTAGAAGGGGCTGTTCCTTGAAAGGAATACTGCAGCAGTGCCCTCAAGTGTGTCAGAGATGGTGAAGATAGCACAGGATAGGGTGAGGTTAAGGTCTGTTGATAGGGTTGCTAAAGTCAGTAGTACCTAAAAACAATATTGAGTGCTTGCTTGGAAAACACAAAAGAGGAAGACCCTCAGTTAGATGAATTGACACAGTGACTGCAGCAGTGGGCTTGAGCATGGAAGAGATTGTGAAGATGGCACAAGACAGTGCAAAATTGTCATCTGTTCATAGGGTTGCTCTGAGTCAGCTCAAAAGCACCTAATAGCATTAAATGCTTATGTGATCTTGATTTTTAAGCCTTATGGAGCTTTAGTTTTCTTACCAGTGAACTGGATAGTTCTTTATCTTTTTTAATGAAACTTTTGTTTTTAATGAAACAGTCTTCCAGTGTTACAGGTGACCCTGGGTGGTATTTATTCCCTTTCAATTAAACTTCCTTCTTTCCATATACCCACAGGACTCCAATGAGAGTAACTCCTCTACGCCAGCCACGCAGTTCATCATGTTGCCTCTTCCTGCCTACTCAGTGGTGGAGAACCCTACCTCCATCAAACTGGTCAGTGCATGGGGAGTTGATGACAATTAGGGTTCCATAAGGATTCTCTTCCAAATACTTTTTTCCCCCTTTCCAAATATTTTTCTAAAAATCTGAGGACCAAGTCTCAGGTATTATCTGGCCCATATGGTTTTTTTTTTGTTTTGTTTTTTG